AATACACCCAAAAGCATTGCCATTGCCATGGGAACTGCTTAGGCATTTGAGACGGGTTTCTTAGGACTGGCTCTCCCATTTGTAATGATTTTCACATGTGCACTGCAACATCTTGAAGTTGGGTTTGAACACGGACCGTACAACTGGTGTGTGCCATCTTCATGCACAGCCGTAAACAACAACGCTGTTTTGGCGCAAGTCATCATAATTCTGACCAAAAGCTACGCTTGACAATGATGTGCTCACACAGTCATCCTGCAACCACTGAGAAATTCTGAATGTATTTTTGTCTGAGCTACAAATGTTAGCATGCCCTCTTACACTTCCCTCGAGGGTAAATGAGGGGAGGCAACAAAACATGAAAGCAAAGAGAGGTGGGACGAGGAATGGGCGGTCATGATGAGGACGGCAGGAGAAAGCATTCCACTAAATCAGAGCTGCCGTGAGAGGAATGATAAAAAGGGGGCAAAGAGAGAAACGCTTACCACTTGATTGCTGCAGAGAGAGCAGATAAGACAAGAAAATGGGGATGTTGAGAGTGAAATTCAGAGAGACCTATAAAAATGATCCAAGTTACTGATTGTGCCACTGGACCAGGTGACGTGATACTTTTTAATACTTTTATTCAGCAATAGTGCATTAAATTAATGAGAAGACAGAACTGGGGAATCCAGTCCTAAAATGGAATTTACTGTATAATGCAGAATGGAACATACAGTACTTTGGCAAATTTTGAATGAAATAATCAAAAGTAGGGCTGTACAATGAATCAAATGGCAACTAGTATCTGTGAGTATGAAAGCGCAAATTTACTATTTAAAAATGAAGTCTGCATGTTCTGAGTGTCTCTGCGTGATTGAAGAATGGTTTCATCTATAGACATGCAAGATAGGGTTGTGCCGATAGACGATAATATCGTGTATCGACGATAGCAGATGTTTGTCGATAGTCAAGACGATATTAGGCTCATTCTCCTATTAATGTATTAATAATAATAATTATTATTATTAGGCAACCCATTATAATTCGGCTATTATTATCAAATTGCCAGGCTTTTTCATTAAACACTGTATTTCTCACACACACACACACACACACACATGTGCGCGTGCGCAAATGAGGAGCCTGTAGCCGGTGAAGGAGTCTCCAACCACAAACACAGACACATATCGTGTGCAGATATAAGGTATTTCATTGCACTTTAACAAATAATCTGAACGGCCTAAATATGTGCAATATTTTAACCAAGCCCTCATTAACTGAGTTTAATGCCACAGTTATGTTAGAACGCATCTCATTCTTGTTTCCGTGGCGGTGCGTCGGGCTCACCATGGGGTGCGCGGTCCGGAGCGCTGTATGACTGATGTATGTTTAATTTAAATTTACTCCAAATATATGAACTTACCTGTTTTAAATACTTTATATTTAACGTGTTCGTTTATGTCCAATATTTAGAGTTAAACTGTTGGTCTTTAAAATAAATCTACTTTTGATTTTCACCGTTGACTGCAGACCTTTTAGACTGATAACTTCCGTGCTCTGATGCGGCAAACTTGTCACAGGACGCGCGGTCCTAATAGCGAAGTATGACTGTTGTATCCAAATATATATGAACTAGCTGTTTTAAATATATATATATATATATATATATATATATATATATAAAATAAAAATGAAATAGTCATGCGTTTTTTTAAGATAAAATTATAATCAATACATTTTTAAAAATATATAATGTTTGCATATCATAACAAAAATTAAATACAGTAATTAGTTTTTCAAGATAGAATAATAATAATTAATGTTTTAAAAATATATATTTTAGTTTTGCATCTAATAAAATAAAAATGAAATACAGTGATCAGTTTTCCAAGATAAAACTATAAATCAATTAGTTGTTCAAGATAAAATTATAATCAATACATTTAAAAATATATATAATGTTTGCATATCATAACAAAAATGAAATACAGTAATTAGTTTTTCAAGATAGAATAATAATCAGAAATATTTAAAATGATGTATATTAGGTTTGCATATATCATAAAAATACATATAAAAGAAATATATATATAATCAATAAATTCTTTCAAAGATATTTAAAGTTTGCATGTATCATAACAGAAAATAAAATGCAAATTAAATACAACGATGAGTTTTTAAAGATAAAATTATAATCAAAAATATATTTTTAATCTTTGCATATATAATAACAAAAATTAAATATAAATGAAACACGTTGATTAATTTTTCAACATAAAATTATAATAATTAATGTTTTAAAAATATATATTTTAGTTTTGCATCTAACAAAATAAAAATGAAATACAGTGATCAGTTTTCCAAGATAAAACTATAAATCAATAAATACTTAGAGATACATTTAAAAATGTGAAATATAAATCACCTTTGCTTTTGTCCACAGGAATATCCAGCAATCGACGGAACTTACTGTCCACTGAACAGAAGACAAGAAAAACTGAAATTAATCTATTCAGTCACACATAAACCTAATAAATGACCCGAACCTCATTTCAATCTCCAATTAAAGTACATTTACAGGAACAGTTCATCAAAAAATAAATGAGAAAATAAAGCAATAAGCCCGTGAAGCCGTGGTTTACAGTGAATTTATAACAGCTAAGG